TGTGGCGGGAGTGGCACAACGCTCACAAACAGACACATCCTGACCAAGGATTCCATAGTTCCGGCCTTCAGCGTCTCGTGCGCCTCCACTCGTCATCTTTAGCAGCACATCCGTGGCGACGGTGTGCATGGGGAAGAGAATCGGAACGTCCTGAGCATCCGAAAGCCCAACAAACCCACGACCACATTTTCGGTGGCCCTCGTGCGCGCGCTGATACTACCAAAAAACATACAACACTAAATAGCTAAGGCAGGACTCAAATCTATGTTGACTTTTTGTGCAATGCCGAGTGGCATCTGCGGCATCGGGCAAGGATCGGCCATAGATTTCCAGCGGCGTCCGCGGCTTTCCGAAGATGCAGGAGGACATGAGCTCACACCACCATGGGCGACGAGGTGAAACTGAAAACTTGGAGAAAATTCTGGGACTTTGGGTTGAGAGGCTTGGGTGTTCTGGCTTAGGGCTCACAGCCTTTACGACTCAGGGTCTGAGACAAACGCTGCCGACGTGGTGTCTTGAAGGGTTTAGGGTTTAGGGTTTAGGGTTTAGGGTTTAGGGTTTAGGGTGCCCCTGCTGGTCTCCGTAGCTTCCCACAGCTACGGAGACGACCTCTCTCGCTCTGACAGGCGCAAAACGCAAAAGTCAAGGCCGGCAGGGCTGTCTGCGTTTAGGAGTTGAGGGTTTAGGGTTTTGGTTTAGGGTTTTGGTTTAGGGTTTAGGGTTTAGGGTTTAGGGTTTAGGGTTTCTGGGATTCAGCGTTGAGTTTTAGGTTTTATATGGATGCTTATACAGGGCTGAGAGCTCCATATGTAGACGATACCACTGATGTAGTTGGTGTGGCGCTTTGCTCGCTGAACCCGACGAGACTTGAAACTAGCCAGCATGTGCCACGTGATTATGTGCTCAATAGGGTTATGCGCGAGCTTGGCCAGCATGCGCAACGGTAGTTTGGCCGCTTTGTGCTTTGGAATCTGGGAAGCTCTGAGGATTGGAACCCCGGCCCCAAAAATGGTACGGCACCCTTACACACAGGACCCTTAGAGGGACCCTAATTTAGAGAAGTACACCCCTTTGACTTTTCCCGCCGAAGTTCGCTCTTCAACCGGCCTCAGGGTTGTTTTAGGCGTGAAGGTTCAGGCGACAGCCTTCTAATATAGGGGCCATAATAATTAGAATAGGGTTTTGGGGCTCATTATACTAGAATTCTAGTAAGGAGCCGCCAAAATAGTATATGTAATAATTTAGGCCCCTATATTCAGCTGAGTGGATCCTGGGTTGTAGGGTTGAGGGGCTTGGGGTTTCGGGTTTAGGGTTGAGGGGCTTGTAGGGTTGGGGTAGAACCAGGGTGAGCCCATGACCCGCCTAGTCCACTGTAGTTATAAAGATGGTAAAATAGGGGCCTTAACAATTAGAATAGGGTTTTGGGGTCTATTATACTATACTTGTAAGGAGGAACCCCCAAAATAAAATAGGCAAATTATGAAGGCCCCTATATTACCTGGTAGGTAGAACCCTGCACCCCACACCCTTCAAACCCCCCCCAAGCCGATCCCGGGAAGGGGACACAAAGTCATCAAAGTCCGAACCCTACCTCGGACCCGAATTACAAACAGTTTTATTATGGGTTCTACCTACTGATTAAGGGATAATGGCTGCTAAAGTGTGGGTAAAGAGACTTACAAGTAAACCCTACTCCCAAGACCCTAAACATCCGTGAACCCTTGAAACCCCTAGTCCCGAAACCCTAAACCCTCATCTAACATCGCGCCCCACATTCAGTCTGGGATCAACCTTGGCAACGGGACTGAAACTTGAAGCCCGCAGGATTCACGAAGCTCAAACTCAAACCCTGAAGCCTTTACTTCCCCAAAACCTCCTAACTCCCTAAACCGTAGACTAGGATCCTGATAACAGCCCTCACCCTAAACCCAAACAAAGCCCATGGATTTCCATATGGATGGCCTCGCAAGCGCACATTGCTGCACTGCGGCCGCCAGGAGCCTCTCAAAGGAGACCCCGAGTAGCCCTAGAAGGTTTAGGGTTTAGGGTTGGTTGAGGATTTCCGGCTACTAGGGTACCAGAAGGCACCCCAAGGGGTGTAGGACCGTTTAGGATATCGGGTCACTAAGGTTGCCTGGGTTCGGGGCTTCGGGTCACTAGGGCGGACGGAGAATAGAAGCAACCCCGGCCACGCTCTGCAGGACCTGACTTGACAGGAAGGCAAGATAACGCCAAAGGGTGAGAACAGGCATGGTAGGATAATCCTGCAACAGATAAAGATGAGGTGAAGCAGGAGAAACGGGGATGAGATCAAGCAAGGCGCAGATAGAAATATCAAAGCAAGAGACAGACGGTCCTGCAGAGGTGAGAAACAAGGCAAATCAAAAAGGATGACACAAGACGAATCAGGACCGACCAATCGATTAGGGTCTGGATGATCATACTGCCTAGGGTAGGAGAAGATGATAGCACACTCAAAGTAGCATGATGGGCTGCAGCAGGTAGTCCGGCTACACGGTACTGCACCTCACAATGCAATCCAGGATGCAGCAGCACTTTGTTGGGCCAGACTCCCAAAAAAGAACAATTTCGGAATTCACAATATTCACACTCTGAGATCTCACCCAATCCGAAAGCCGAAATCCCAATTCCTAGACACATCAGGGACCGAAACCCTTTCCGAAAACCATGAGTCCTAAACACTGCTTCCTAGGTCCTAGACATATCCCTGAAAAACTCCATCTGCCTGGAGCACCAGGGAGGCTTCAAAGACGTCGACGAGGGCCATCGCTGCATCTGTATGCCTCGGTGCTTGAAGTTTAGGGTTTAGGGTTTAGGGTTTAGTTTTGCTCGGTTTTAGTCAGACAATGAGGGGGCATCAATGATCAGAATAAGGCTTTAGCGCAGGTCATGTTTTCAATATCTTCGGGTTTATCACAAAGGAACTATGTTACGAACTAATGCTCAGGCCTCTGGTAAGGGCTTGGGATCAACAATTCAGGCGTGAGGCCTTTGAGCTCTAGGAACGCAATAACCCCTTAACCCTGTAAGCCCTAATATAGAGGCCCTAATAATTAGAATAGGGTTTGGGAGTATGTTATTCTATAATTATAATAAGGAACCCCCAAGACCCTTATCTAATTTTGAAGGCCCCTACATTAAACCCTGGACCCCAAACCCGACACAGATGTGGGATTTTCAGGTTGCTGGTTGAGGGCTAAGGTTTCGCTGGAATTATAGGGGCCTTCATAATTAGAGTAGGGTTTTGGGGGCCCATGATCCTATAGTTATGATGAGGAACCGCAAAATAGCCCCATTATCCTGCAGTTATGATGAGGAGCCCCCAAAGTAGTGTTGGCGATTATTTAGGCTCCTATAGTGACGGTTCCCAAAAGGCTCGGGGTCTGGGCTTAAGGTCGGCGATTCCGGGTCTCGATGCGTGGAGCTTGGGTTGGGGCTTTCGGCTCGAGAGCCCCGGGCTTTTGGGGACCCCTGCCCCCCTGGGTTTCGGGTTTAGGGGTTTAGGGTTTAGGGCTTAGGGTCTTTTCTGAGTTCTACACCTGAGAAGGTGCCAGGATGGTTCAAGTTCACGGGTTGGGACCGGGAAGCCACATCCCAAACCCCACTTGATCACAAGATGCTTTGTCAGGCAGGCGATGTGCAACGGCGTATGGCCTTCGAAGTCGCCCTGAAAGCACGAAGTGGTAGTGGTAGTGGTAGTGGTAGCGGTGGCGGTGGCGGTGGCGCTGGCAGTGATGGAGGTGGTAGTGGTAGTGGTAGTGGTCGTGGTAGTGGTAGTTTTACTGAGTGGCAGTGCTGGTGCTGCAGTGCCAGTGCGAGTGCGAGTGCTAGCGCCACTGCTAGTGCAAGTGTTAGTGCCTAGCGGCAGTGGTAGTGGCAGTGGTAATGGGTTGGTAGTGTTCATATAGCTGCTAGCAGCGTTACTAGAGGTCAGTAGCAGCAGCAGCTGCAGCAGCAGGAGCAGGAGCAGGAGCAGGAGCAGCAGCAGTAGCAGTAGCAGTGGCAGGAGCAGTAGCAGTAGCAGCAGCAGCAGCAGCAGCAGCAGCAGCAGCAGCAGCAGCAGCAGCAGCAGCAGCAGCAGCAGCAGCAGCAGTAGCACTAGACCTAGCAACAGCAGTAGCAGCACGAGTATAGAAGTTGGAGTAGGGGAAGCCATAGGAGTAGGAGTAGTAGTCGTAGTAGCAGTAGCAGTAGCAGTAGCAGTAGCGATAGTAGCAG